AACGAGTTTTAGGGAAGATATGGATTGAAATATCTCAGAAACTAAAAACCCGATCTGAATATTGTAAACTAGGTAAATGTTCAGCATTCCATCCTCTTTATAATGAGCTATTATTTATAATTTATATTTCATATTATTATTATTTTTTTTTAAAATCTATTTATTGGATAATAATACAATCAGCCACTGCTGGAGGGCTATAAGTATTAGGGCTAAGAGTTCTCATTCATACAATATATACACATAATAGAGAAATAAATATAAATATAAAAAGTAAATAAATAGTACCGATGAATAAAGTAAAATAAAAGAAAAAACAGTAAACAAATAACATAAAATAGAAACTTCTAAACACAATCATACCTATATACAATATATACATTCGCCCAGGAATCTCCGAGCCAGGCTTTTTCCCCCACATGTGGAAGGCAAAGCAAGACTCCAGGAGATCCCAGTGCCACTTTTCCAGCCGCATCACTAGTATTAGAAGCCAGTGGAGACTGAAAGAGGGCACTAGAGCCACAGACGCTCAGGACATGAGTGAAGATGCTGGCCATTGCCAGGACTCCAGAAGCATATTTACTAGAGATCTCTGGGCCACTGCCGTTTTAACCTTCGTGGAGGATTGTAGGGATGAAGGGAGCTGGATAGGGATTGAGCTAGAGGATTTGGATGATGGATAAGGTTCTGTTGAAAATTTGAGAATCTGGATGGGATGATGTCGAGGACAAATGGGATGTTGAGGTCATGGTGTAGGGTCTTGTTTGTGACATAATATGGGGCATTAACTATTGTTCTGAGTACTTTGGACTTGAAGGATTGGATGCGTTTGATATTCGAATATTTAGCAGTTCCCCACAGTTCAAGTCCGTAGGTCCAGATAGGTTTCAGTATGGTCTTCATATTAATAACAACAACTTTGCCTTGTTGTTATTAATAACTTCCATTGTGAGCTCTAATACTAAAGTCTAATCACACAAGTTAGTTTTTTAAATTTTATTTTAAACTTACCAAATAATAAAAATACTTCTATTACATTTGTATAATCACGGCTACAACCTTCTACCTTTGCTTTCTTAACTATATTAATTTCGAGAGCTATTATATTAAAGTATATTGTTTATTATTCAATTTAATAATTAAAAGAATGTGGCCATTCTTAAGTACATATTAATAAGTTTATAAGTGGAATGGGAAAGCGGCTAACCAAGGTTCTAACTGACAAGGCGAACGACAGTTCTAGCTCGGAATTTATAAACGGTATCAATGTCAGATTAATATTGACAAACGTTAATTTATTAACACATTAATCGATTTTAATTTATTGTATATTTTTATTTATCACCTTCACCTAGACCGATAATTTTTCGATGTTTTAAAAAATAACAAGGTTGTATTAGAATTAAATCCTATTTCAACTTCCTTGCCTTCATGTCAGGAGATAATGTTTGTCCCACTTCTATTCGTAATCGTTTTTCGGTTTATCTTTATATTCTGATCTTAGATCGCTCCGATAATCGTACTGAGGTTTTCCTCTCAAATCTTCTAATACTTCTTTCAAAGATGCTGGTTAGCGTCCAAGTTTCGCAGCCTTATATCAAATATGGAATAATTTTTTCATGGTTCTTAATTGGAGATTCTTAGAGATTTTTCGGAATTTCAACACCTTTTTTCACGCGAGAAGAAAACTTATTACTTACGCTTGCTATTCGTCGGTCTATTTCTGACCGTTGGTCCTTCATCCAGGATATTGTGGAAATCTGAGGAAAAATTTCTCTTCTATTCAGATCCAGTTGTACTTATTAAAATATATTTTATTATTAATTATTACACGGTTTTTAAAAAATATTATTTATATTTATTTTCCCTTGTATATATAAATTTTATGAAGTATATATAGTGGCTGCTAAGCCTAACTTAAAATAAACTTAAGGTTTAGAAGAAATCCGAGTCATCATTGGGGTACTGACTTGCTACTTCACTATATAACAGAATGTGACCAATCAGAGTCGCTTATTGCTCGTGGTACAGAACCTTTTTATCTAATTATTAACATCTGCCTGAAACTTCGTAAATAATTTCTTCTCATCGTAACCTGCTACTATTTTGTTTACGAAAACTCTTGGAATTGCAAACTTTGTTTATTTAATTAGGTATTAAAAACTCGTAAATACACATTTGCTCTCTACTTGGAATTTGATCACAAAATAGATAAAAAAGGTAATCTACTAAAATATTGGACTGTTTGTTCTATATAATCTCGTTATTTTGAAATGTTGGGGGTGTATGTCACGCCAAACCGCTCAATATTTTTGAAGGCCACTTTTTTTTCTCGATTTTGTTATCAAATTATCTTACGATCCAAGTAGAAAGTAAATGTGTATTTACGAGTTTTAGTACCTAATTAAATAGACAAAGTTTGCCCCCCTCCAAATTGAAAACGCCCCAATTCCAAGAGTTTTCGTAAATAAATTTTTGAAGGTTACGATGAGATGAAATGTTTCCTTTATAAAATATATACATACAAGGAAGAAATAAATATAAATAATATTTTAAAAAATACATATAATGATTAATAATCAAATATATTTTAATAATTACAACTGGATCTGAGTAGAAGAGAAATTTTTCTTCAGATTTCCACAATATCCTAGATGAAGGACCAACTGTCAGAAATAGACCGACGAATAGCAAGCTTAAGCAATAAGTTTTAAATAAGTTTTCTTCTCGCGTGAAAAAGGGTGTTGAAATTCCGAAAAAATCTCTAAGAGTCTCCAATTAAGAACGCACCATGCTACAATTATGCCATATTTGATATAAGGCTGCGAAACTTGGACGCTAACCAGCATCCTTGAAAGAAGTATTAGAAGATTTGAGAGTTTTTCTTTCTTGAGAGTTAATTCCAAGAGTTTTTGTAAATAAAATATTTGAAGGTTACGATGAAATGAAATGTTTTTATTTATCTGTTTATGAAGTTTCAGGCGGATGTTAATAATTCGATAAAAGGGGGTCTGTACTACTGACTATTATATATAGCATTCTGGGTCGAATAGATCCTAGAACAGGAAGCTTCCTCCCTAAAATTACCATAGGATTTTAAACTTCATTAGAAAAACGGAAAGGTTTGAGACAGTGATAGAGGTGTAATAGACTATTTTTGGTATTATTGTCTCGGGAGTAGCCAAAAAATACCAATAGATCCATTTATGGGATCGAGTCCTCCAACCTCTACCAGTACTTTTGTGATGAAATTTGAAAAATCAGGATTGAATGGGGGATAAATCAATCAATCAATGAAAAATGAATTTTCCTAATTTCAAATCAAAATTATTACGTGGAGCTGATAAGTTTAATGTGATAATTTCTTTTTGTATATCATTTTATTATGGTTATTTTGGTTTATTATTTTCAATAATGAACCATTGCAATAAAAATTTGAGATTTTACGTATCAAGATACGTAGAATTCGAAAATCGAACAAAAAATTGTTTGTCCGCGCATATTCTCCGAAACTACTGGAACAATTTTTTCAAATTGAGATTTAAAGTCTGAGTTCACCTGAGGATGATCCTCCTTCATCGACATTGCTATCCACCTTTTCCTTCCCAGATGGCGGACGAAAAACCTGCGTTGCTATAGACTGTAGCGGCTTAAGGAATGTACTGATTTCAATAAAACTTGTCTAAAGTCTTCTTGATTCACTTTAAATTTATCTATATAACATACTTCAATGAAAAGAAGCTGAAAAAAAAGTTTTTTTAATTTGTTGTATATTTTGGTTTTTATTACTTTAGTCACAATAAGCCTCGGAAAAGGTCTGTATGTGTTTATATGAATGTTAATGGTGCATGTATGAAATTGTACGATCCTCAAATTATATAGGGTGTCCTGTAAGTAGAAGGAAATATTTAAAAGAATGAAATTGGACATCAAGATCTACAAATAAGTTTATATAAATAATTACCTAATTTCCACCCAATTTCGGTGGTTGTTAATATTTTATAAAAAAAAGTCTGTATCACGGATTAAAGTATATAGGTATGAATGTGATACAGGTATCGCATTTTTTCGTTTTTACTTTCCTACCTATACTAGGTAAGGAAGGTATTGCGATCGGGTCAAATTTCCGATATGCGGTTTTCGATGGATCTATACGTTTCAGAGCCCCACTGGATTTTTGAAAGGTAATGAAATTCCCTACAAAACTATATAAAAATAGTCCACTTTGGACAAATATTACCGAAGTTACAACTATTCAATTTCAGATATAAGATCAGCATCACACAAGTTCACTATTTCCTCTGCTTTCAACAGTAATTATTGTTTGACAAAATTAAGCTACGGCAAAAAGTTTTTGATCAGCAATATTAGAGGGTGTTGAAATTTTTACACTGATCTACCTTAAGCAAGTTTACATTGCTTTGTCAAATAAATCGTACTCAAATCTTTTTAATGATTAATTTTCAGGAAAATAAATCTAAATATTTTTTTTGTCGTTTCTTGATGGACATATTTAAATATATAAAAACTTTTCTGAAATAGGTAGGAAAGTCGTGTGAGTTGACACACCAGATTTTTATTATTGTTTTTCTTTTTACAAGTATTTCTTCATTTTACTTTTTTTTAAATGTATATTTGTATTTTTAATATCATTATATATTTGTTTATTTTTTAAAACATATTTTGTTCATATTTTATTTAATTTCTACGTAAATATTATGAATGTACACATTGAACTGTGTACATTAATGCCCAACGCCCTTGATTGTGGCAAATTGTATTATTATTTTGCCAATACAAATTTGTCAGAAGTGTCATATAATTTGTCACCAATACCAATTTATCAAAATAAAGATTAAACGACTACATTATTCTGACTTCAAGCCTATGAAGTACGTTTTATAGTGATTAATAATATATATATATATATATATATATATATATATATATATATATATATATATATATATATATGAATATATTTGTATTTTATTTTTTAGAGAGTTGATATGAGATGTGATATTTCTGTTTTTTTTTTATTCCTAATAATGTTTGAATTGATGAAACGATGAATTATTATATAATTACTATTATTTTATCGACTCAATGATAAGTATTTGAATTATGGAATAATAAAAGTATAATAACCATATAACATTTTGTACGATATGTGTAATAAATCCTTTACTATCACGGTTAGGGGATAGAGGATAGAGGATGTAAATAATTGAAGGTTGAAACTATAAAAAGCTCAAAACTATTACAAAGACTGCATGCAATTTCCTTCTAACTGTAAAGACATCTTCCTAGATATACCACTACATAACCGCATGCCCAAGTATGGCTGCATGTTTAGCATCACCAGCCATTGCAAAGAATGTTTGTTCAGTTTCAAGGTTCAAATAGAAACGATGTTTGTTCTCTGGGTATTGTATACCCTACTCAGGAAAACATGTTTACAAAATGAAAGATTTTCATCATAGTTAATAGTTCTAAATTAGTTGCAAATCGTATGAAGTAATAAATAAGTGTGGATCACTTTCTATAATAGAGATCTTAATAAAAACAAAGTTTAATTATTACTTATTATTAATGATGAAAAATATTTTATTTATTTTTCACTTTTACATTTTATGATTAAAAATCTGATACTGTGCGCGCATCACACAACTTTAACTTACCTCCCGCTTAATTGAAATAAGTATTTTCAGACAAAGGTGCACAAGTGAAAGAAAAAAATTATAAATGCTATATTGATTTATTTTTCATTGTGGATATTTTGATTCGTTTAAGTACTCTTATATATACAAATTTTAATATTTATATCGCTGTATTCTATACAATTAAATATTAACTATTACCAACGTAAACATTTAGGAAAACCACATATGCATATGTACATAATATTGTCGGAGTCCGTATTATATTAAGCTCATGTTACTATGCAAGCCTGTTCTAATCTTCGGGCCAGCTCGAGTGAGCTAGTAATCCTTTGTTTCCTTCATTAAAACGATTCTTTGTTATAATATCTTAATTATGAAATCTTTTATAAAGATTTTATATTTAACTATTTTTATATTACAGATCAATGTGAAATGGTTAATTATTTCAAATAAAAAAAAATAAAGGTACTTTAGAGGAAGATAATATTTAAAAGTCGCTATTTAAGCCCTGTTAGAGAACATCAATGAGAATAAAACCTGCATAATATTATAAACTGCTTAATTGTACACCGATGTAGAAAATCATTTTCGAGGAATGATTTGTATATACCTATACACAAATCATAAATATGAAATTTTACTTTCATACGACTTTCCGTTTTTGAGCAAGACCGGTCACATTCATAAACACAGATTCACTCACACACACTCATACACACAGGCCATTTTGCGGGACTTGGTTATTTGAACTCAGGAGGCCTCAAAACATTTATTTCCGTTGAAAACTCAGATTCGAAAATTTTCTCGACCAAATTACTGTCCATTACTATATATTTCATATATAGGTAGGAGAAAGTAAAAAGTGTATGAATTTATGTTTATTAAAATATATCTCAGATCACCTCATTTTTTTTAAAGTAACTTGAGGAGAAACTCAACTTATTGCGTAATAAGCCCCAACTTAATTAATATAGGCTTAAACCTTTTTAAACAAATAAGTTTATATTAAAGGGACATTATATATATATATAGCATAGCATAGATGGAGAGTGATAAAAAAAAAAAAAAAAAGTGAATAATACAGGATTTTTTAAAAAACAGACCTTAGCTTAGTTTATCCACTCAGAATTTCTCTTTAAATTGTTTAATAATGAGACAAATTCTATTTTAAATTAAAGTAAATTTTATCTAAAAACGATGACATGAAAAAACTAGTAGAGTAATTACTAGTGGCTACACACTCTAGAGTAACATTCTTATAAAATTTCTAAATTAGGAGATCACGAGACTATCTCCTTTTCAGATACCTCGGAGGGTTATCAGGAATTGAAGAGGAAGCAAGGTTAAAAACGAGAAGGTTGGGATAGTTCTAACGTTTATTATGAAACACTAGCGGATTCAGAATTTAATTTTGGGGAGCTTTAGCCTGAAAGCTTTTTTTTTTCATATATATATATATATATATATATATATATATATATATATATAACGATAATTAATTTGAAAGAAAAAAAAGAAACTAACTATCTAAAAGACATGATGTTTAAGTAATTCTTGAAGTCCTTTATATGTAGCTACACGAACAATAATACTTTAAGAAATAGTTTTAATATTTTTTTCCATAAAACATGGTTATATTTTACCATTTTCTGCGAGGGGGCTTCAGCCCGAAAGAGTCTCCTCTGGTAGATCCGCCTGTGTTATGTAAGGATAGGTATCTGGATTGGGCCAAATCGGAAACATATGGAACGTTAAGTTCATTATGGATATTTTTAATTGTTACAAATTAAGGAGTTTGAGAATTTTGAGGGTTGGAGTCCCAAAACTCAACTACGTATTTCCAAATAGATCTTGTTTTACTCATGTACGTATTACATAATAGCTGAAGTAGGTTATTTAAAGTAAAAATTTCCACTTTAAATAACATGTATTTTTAAAAATAATTTATTTTTTTGAGTACTAGATCCTTCGCTTATAGATAATGACGAGAAGCTGATCCTGCGGGTCCTATAAGGACAGGATATGTTTTCTCCGAAGCCAAGGTCCCTTATGTAACCGACCGCACTCTCCGCTCACTTTCTTCGGATCTTCTCCTCGGCGTGCCCACTCCTTCCGTCAGGGGAAGGATGTAGGCGGAACTGTAGAGGTCCTTCAAAGGATCAAAAGGAAATGTCTTTTTAAAAAGTTCTATCAACTGTTTTATTTACAAGGTTAAATATAAGTCATCTCTATTCTTACATTGTGATTCGTAATGGGTGTGACTACTAATGAAATGAAGAACGTGGGATATATGAAGGATAATAATTGAAAATCAGACGTAGAACACTGATTCATATATATTCTTCTTTATTCATATGACTAAAATTATATAAATATGATTCCTAAGGTGTATTGGGTTGGCAAATAAGTCCTTTCGTTTTTTCTATTTAATTTTATGTCATTATGATATACTTCTTATCTGATGAATTAATCCTTAAGGTTTATCCTGTTTGTGATATGTCAACAACCATATCTCTTAACTATTGTTTGAACTAGCTTAGTATTGATTTTGCTATTGCACTATGAATATGGAAAAAAATATCATTATCGCCATATTTTGTTGTATTATTTTAAAAAAGGTAAGCGTGCTGCAGAATGTTCAGTGTTTATGGGGACGATGCCTTAACCGAACGCACCTGTAAAAATTAGTTTACCAAATTTCATTCAGGAAATTTTGACATCAATGATGCTCAACGGTCTGGTCGCACACATGAAATTGAAACGAGCTGTGTCAAGGCCATTGTTGATCAAAATCCCATCCAATCAGTGCGAGAGATTGCTATGACCATAAATGTTATAGCTTCAATACAACTTTAGCTATCTACAAGAAATTTAATAAAAAATTAAGGCCACGTATACTACACTATGTCTATAATACATTGAGTTTTATTTCATCCTGAAAAAATGAAAGGACCTATTTGCAACCCAATATTTTGGCATCTCTGGTAATCTGTAAGAGTTTTTTAAGGCAAATTTCATTAAAATCGTTTTATCTGTTTTGTCGCTGTAGTCTACAGAAAGATATGTTTTTAGTTTTCTATTTAGAAACAAAATGGCGGATTGTAATGTCGAATTCCGAGGATCATCTAGGATTGAACTCTTATTTTGATACTAAATACACTGTTTTGCAAAAAAAAAAATTGTCTGCCTTGAGAAATTTTTCCAGGTTTTTATATTTTTATGTGTGATGAATGTGAATCTGAAGTCAAAAAATTGTATGAGGTACCATTTTTGAGAAAATGTTGTTTTTGAAATAACATGGTTTTTCTTACGTCATCTATTCGTTTATTGCATAATAATAATGTACAAAATATGTAATCCTGAACATAATATAACTTTATACCCAGTCAATGTTTATATTTTTTTCCTTTTGTAGTGTTCATCAGCTGTTCTCGTGTCTAACAGTAGCCAGCACAAGCATCTTCTCAATGAATTGCCTCTTCTCCATTTGGGCTATATATTAATGAAACCGTTATCCGTGTTCATCTGAAACTGTCTCCAAGTTGAAAGAAAAGAAATGCAAATGAGACGGCAAAAACTGAATTTTTAATGACGTGTTGGTTACATGTAACATGTTTTTGTAATGTGTAGCTCATTTGTTACCCGAAAATGGTTGACATATGCTTTCAAACGCAGACCAAGCTATTTTACCGTTTATTTTAATTTTTCTTTGAATTCCAGGTCGTTACAAAAATTCTTAAAGCCAAACACCTGAGTTCTTGGAAATTTTTCATGTCGTAATACATTTACTCCGTGGTACAGACTTCTTTTTATCGAATTATTAACATCCGCCTGAAACTTCGTAAATAGTTTCTTCTCATCGTAACCTACAACTATTTTATTTACGAAAACTCTTGGAATTGGAGCGTTTTCAATCAGGAGGGGGGCAAACTTTGTCTATTTAATTAGGCACTAAATAGTCGTAAATACACATTTTCTTTCTAATTGGATCATAAGATAATTTGATCACAGAATAGATAAAAAAGTTGGCCTACAAAAATTTCGAGCCGATTATCCTATAGAATCTCGTTATTTTGAAAATTTGGGGGTGTAGGTCACGCCAAACGGCTCAATATTTTTGAAGGCCACCTTTTTTCTCGATTTTCGTGATCAAATTATCTTACCATGCAAGTAGAAAGCAAATATGTATTTACGAATTTTTAGTACCTAATTAAATAGACAAGTTTTCTCCCCTCCAGATTGAAAAACTCCTCAATTCCAAGAGTTTTCGTAAATAAAATAGTTGTAGGTCAAGATGAGACGAAACTATTTACGAAGTTTCAGGCGAATGTTAATAATTCGATAAAAAGGATTCTGTATCATGGAATAATTGCAATACC